CGTCGCGCGCGCTGCAGGTCCGACGTGAAGACGGCGCGCACGCTGCCGGACGGGAACCGCGCGGCGAGGTGCGCCCCCAGGCGGCCGGCTTGGAGCGCCCCGTGGGCGGTCAGCGCCGAGTCGGTGATGCCGGCGTACACGCCGGCCACGTTGTCGACCGTCTCGCCGTGGCGCACGAGGAGCAGACGCATCGTGGCAGGTTACTAGAGGGCGGGCGGGCGTGGGCGATGGGAGCGAAATGCCAAGGGGATTTGGAGAATCGGTCTGCAGGAGGGATGCAGCAGGCACGAGGGTATGGGAGAGGTTTTTGAGCCCGGTGCCTGCTGCAATTGTTCAAAGGCAGTACTGAGCTGGGTTGAAGTTGAGAGAAAAAATTGATGAGATTTTTTTTTCTCTCGTTGCAGGTTGTGTATGGTTTTGGAATAGGTGAGTAAGCGTATATGTACCTAAGCAGTGGTGTATCTAACCAACACTGGGAGCTTTGTGATTGGCTGACGAAGAATCAAGGAGGGATACCCTGGAATCGAATGTTCTCGGTTCTCGTCAGATGCTTTGAGGCAGAGAAGTGACATGTTCTTCAAGTTTCAATATCTGCTGGTTTTGAAGGAACCTCTTTTTCCCTTTACATGATTGCCGTTCCCCGGGGATGTGTCACGCGCAAGCATTTATGATACGAAGGACTTCTAGCCAAGCACTCGTATTTCAGTGTCCGTAAACATAAATGGGTAAACAAGACAAGGCACACATCATCATGTCAGCTGCCATGAATATTCTGTATTACTCCCTGAAACTCCCTTGATTTAGGTGTATTCGAATCGTGGCATGTGTATACCTAGCTACTGGCCAGTAACTAGGTCAACTCCTAGTTCCGTGACGACACGAAGGACCGCAACGACCAAGACTCCAAATCCGGGCCCGCGAATTCGAGGTTCGCCTCGTATAATCGGCTTGGTATCTGTATTTTTATACCAGTAGCTAAATATTGATACGACAAAACAATAGCCTGGACTGGCAGTTCCTCCATGACCAGTCGCTGGCGTGAATGTGCAATACCCTATTTATATCAACAATCTATTTGTGCATGGTGACACTTGTTCGCCGAAATTATCAGAATGGAGGGTGCCACGGAAAGCCCTGTCATTCATTCAATATATTCCGCCCCCCTTCATGTCTTGCTGCTAGGTTTTAATCCATCCTGGCCTGCGGCGGAGGATGCACCATGGAGTTATTTGGAGGTTTTGGGTTTTGGATATAAAGTGAGTTGAGATTGCATTTTTCATGTAAGTTAATAGAAGGAGACGTATGTAACATGCCCCGTCTCCGGATTGCCTGTCATGGTCTCGACAGCCACTGTAACAGACCCCAGCATCTTGGCATACCAAAAGGCAATCTGCAGTGAGGGGCGCTCACCAGAATAGTGGTTCTGGGACGCTGCACTCAAAATTGCAGTCGACATATTGGATTCCTGAATCCTTTTGCGATCCACACAGCAGGACGACCATTTGCAAGTTTTGAAAGTATCGCCTGTCATTGCATCTGTCACTGGAACGCTACAGTCAGCAGCCCGTTCTGCTACCTGTCAATGTAAGTTATTATTATATCCATTGTATAAAGCTGTCAAAAGGTGCCGGACTCTATTGGTCTAAATACAGAAGATTCTCTATGCATATAAAAACGTAGATTACATGAACCACCGCGCGTCTCTCCGTTGGCCTCGCAAGTCATCAAGGCATCCTAGAGGTCAAACGGCTTAGATGGCAAGAAGGGCAAGGAGCGCAGCGATACCAAAGACAGCACCGGTGCTAGAAGCAGCGCCGGTGGGAACCGTGGTAGGGGTAGAAATGCCCGAGGTGCGCGACGCAGTCGCCGTGCTGAGGGTGGTAGTGTTGGTACCGGTACCGTTAACGGCAGAGCTGATGGACGTAAACGCAGTGGTGCTCGAGGTCTTGGTCAACGAAGCCGCAGAGGTGATGCTGGACGCAGCCTTGGTGGCGCTGGACTTGGTCTCAGTCGCAGAGCTCGTCTCGGAGCCGGTAGACGCAGCGCCAGTGGAGGAAGCAGAAGAGCTGGTCGGGCTGGATTCGGCGCTGCTGCCGTCCTTGAGGTTGATCTTGATGCTCTTGGCGCTGCCGGATTTGTCACCGTAGACGTACTCCTTGACATCCTTGGCGGTGGCACTGCTGCCGCCGGCGTAGTCGACAATCTTGATGCTCTTGTAGATGGCGGTGGAAGGGCCGCTCGAGAAGTCGGCGATGCCGCCGGCCCACTCGGTGGTGCCCGGGCGGCCGCCCTCGTAGCCGGCAACCCAGGCGCCGACCTTGACCTGCATGGGGCTCTGGGGGAAGGCGTCGCCGACGGAGGCGCTGGTGAGGGTGCGCACGACGGCGCCGTTGATGATCCAGTCAATCTTCTCGGGCGTCCACTCAAAGACGTAGGTGTGGATGGCGCCGAGCGGGTTGTCGACGGCGTGGAAGCCGCCGCGGTTGAAGACGGAGTCGTCGCCCTTGGAGAAGTAGTTGGACTGGATCTGCTTGTTGTCGAAGCCGACCGTCTCAAAGTCGATTTCGTCGCGCGTGTCCGACTGCAGCACGATGGAGCTCACGATGCCCTTGCCGGCGGCGGCCTGCATCTCCACCTCGACGCGGCCAAAGAAGAGAAACTTGTCGGAGCGCAGCGTCGGGGCCTGCAGCGGCGCGTCCATGGCGCCGATGGCGCCGCGCGCGTCGTAGGTTATGGCCTTGCCGTCCATGGCGTGGAAGGCGGCGCAGGCGCCCGCGGTGAAGTCGCAGTTGGCGCCATCTTTGCCAAAGGCAGGGTTGGGCTTGCAGGCTGCGGAAAGAGGCGTGTTAGCATACAACAAAGTGGTGATGGACAGAAAGGGGGCGCCGATTGCATACTCTTCTGGCGCGGGTCGCACTCAGACCAGGTCTGGGCAGACACGAGCGACACGGCGGCGAGAGCCACGGCAAGCTTGGAGAACATTTTTGTTTTTCGGATGTTGAAAAGGGAGTGAGTGGTAAAGATGAAAAATAGAATAAAATGGCAAGATGAATAGGCAAGAAAACGAAGGTGGTGTTGTATTATGAGTCTGAAACGAAGGACTGAGTTGCTGTGGAAGGACAACGACGGGACGGCCAGGGTGTGCCAAGTGACTGAATTATAACCAGAAAAGAAAGTCGATAATAATAATGGTAACAATAAAGACTCCACGAAAAGGAGTTTTTTCTTTGAGAGGTTCATCTAAAAAGGGTGAATGGGCCGGGGGGACCACTCACGACCAACCAAAGCAATATTGTATCGAGCCAAGCGTCTCAAGACCCCCGTCCATCCCCGCCAAGGAAGGTCCGCCGGATGCCTTGCTGGGCGGCTGTGCCCACTGCGAAGAAGAAAGAAAAGGCAGCAAGGAGATCCACGGGGTCCAATCTTGGGAGGGGGACTCGCGGAATGCTGGTCGTTACCTGCGTACGGCTTTGGTAGACGTTTACGAAGTGATACGAAGGTAACGTAAGGAATACGCGCGCGAGTATGGAGTATGCACATGTACATGTACATATACATATACACATGCGGGCGTCGTTTTGGTGTCCTTTTTGTGAAATTGACTCGCTCGGCGCCGAGATCAGCGGAAGAAATATACCCAGTACCCGTCCAATGTTACCGGGCGCTACATTTCAGGCTGAGCTATAAAAGAAGGTGAGTAACTGTTGATATGATACTATCGGTCGCACGGGTAATGAGCGCCGAGAATGCCAAGAAAGGGTTCCCATAATTCCAAGTCGTAGGCCAAGCAGCGGCGGTTTTATGCATACGTACGCGTTGCCTGCCCGCGCCTCCTGGGCTATGCCGTGGAAAGCGCCTCGCTGTCAAACGCATAAAGACAACAAGGGATGGACTTGCCACAGAGGCGGTCTTTGTGGGAGATCTGGAGGCTGAGATGTGTCGAGGAGGGCCGTTGCCTGTTTGGGTCGAGACGAGTTTCTTCTGGGCTTAAGACACTGGATCGGGACAACTCTATTTTTTGTCTTTCAAGGTGGGAGCAACTTCAAGCTTTGGATGTTGTGTTCAGCTAGGGCGAAGAAATAACGGTTTGTTCGAGCTGACAGCCCAGTCCGTCGGCCAACAGGAACACACTAACACGGTCGCAGCACATTTCATAAACACACAATGAAAATAATGTATCGCCGCTCTTGTGCTCCATCTGACCGCAGCCGTTTGACCCTTTTGATAATTTTCGTTTCAAATATTATTGTGCCACTACGTCGCCACTCGCGTTATGTCAACAGCCTATGGACACCGGGTCAGGTGTGAGTTGAAGTTTGCCACGCGTCATAAATTATTAAATAAAGAAAGCGCACCGATTTCCAACTTTTTTGTTATAACGCTTCAAGGTAGTAGATGTTCAGGATGAAAGCTGCTCTCCTCTACTCAGTTGCCGTCGATTTCGATTTGAACACTCCTTGATTCCAACCACTGGTCGTGCCTCGGTGCCGGATTCATTGAAGAAATCATTTTTATTATTCTTATAGATTTTTCGACATTTCACTACGTTGTGTTCCATTCCAGACGCTCGCTGAATTCGTTTCCGTCAATCGCCTCACCAGACAACACCCCACCAGTAACGTCGTCTACCCACCTCTCAAAACATGAGCATGGAAACCAGCTGTGAGCCGTCTATAAAGTAGGGAGGGCCAAGGTAAACCTATCGTCAAAAGTAATAACTTGAAGAAGTTTCCGAAAGCTAAGGGATGAGATAAAGGGTCGGCAATATCGTACGTGCGGTCAACCCTGGCCATCAGAATTTCTGCCCACAGCTCAGCTTCAGTCTTCTCTCAGGTCGTACAGACTGGTTCCAGTAGACAGTCTGCACTTGATTCGCCAAAAAGCTTTTTCCCATGCGATAAATAGACAGGCTTGGCGGATCACTCCAGCTCCGGGACTTCATGATGCCGTGATGTCCAAGTCTCTCGGTGCCATGAGATCCTTCCGTCGGTTATTAAAAAACCCCTGCGACGAAGAATCGTATTTCACCAGCAACTTATTGAACAAGTAACTGACTGTTGGGCCTCCTGTGGCGCTCACACTCCCCGCTCCTTGTCAGCCACGCAACAACGCCCGCAGCCAGGTCGCGTGGTCCTGCGAGCTGTGTGCCATTTGCGAATAATAACGCGTCGCCACACTATTCCCGTAGAACCCCATGCACCGATTCACGGCCCTGACATAGGTACCGGAGCTCTCCCGATCATGCGGAACATGTTTCCTTGGGAAAGAGCCGTGAAGTCGCCGGGCGGAACGGCAGCCCATGCCATGACATCTGAACTAAGGGTTGAGGTGTAGCATATCAATAAAAGTAGCAAACAAGTCCTTTCTCCTTTAATAATAATAATTTTTGTCTCACTTTTTCAGCTAAAACCCATCATTTTGGAGCCGACCACAAGAACGTTTTTACTCCTCTCATGGTATCACCGACACATTGCCAGCAGAGTTGCATCGCTGGGGGCCGAGGAACGTGATTAAAATGGGAACGAATGATGCAACTATGTACCATACAGAAGAACTCCTAGCAGGGTAGGTCTTTGCGGGTGAACATCTTATTTTGTGCACGACCCGTGCTAACATATGGTCCTTGTCGTAGCGCACAATGGTTCTGTCTTCTCGCCGAGCTTTATCGAACCGGGCTGCTTCAAACTGCCATCACTGCCTTCTCAGTCCTTTATCTCAGCTGCCAGGTATTATGGAAAAACAAAGGCACGCCTGGAAAGGTGTTGCTTCTCAAACCCCAGGGCACCCTCCTTTCTGAGAGCATCGGCCCAGCTCTCAACGTCCTTACCCTTGGCCTGTTCATTGCTGCTCGTGATGCCGACTGCATAGCTCTGGGCTATGTATGCCTTTTGCAGCTTGTACGGGCCATTGGCCCAGACAGCTATCGAAAAGTTCTGCGCTGCCACATCGACGCCATGCTCGTCGGCACGCTTGGCTTGATGCTGGCCGCGGAAGGATTGCCCTTGATGATGGTGGCCAGCGAATCCTCTGTCGGGCGGCCCCAGCTTTTTGCAGCTACTTCCCTTCTCCTCTCAGTGTGTATTGCGGTCCTCACTCCGCACGAATGGCTTTCGCAGGCCGACGGCGGCCTCGATCATGTGTTTGAGCCCACAGGCGAGGAAACGTGCAGCTGGGTAGACTACCTCTTTACATATTCCCGGGCCGGCAACCTCATCCAAAAGAAGAAGGCAAAAATCACGATTGAGCAGTTGGACCAGCTCCCCTCTGCGTACAATTCCGAGCTTTTGCGACGCAAGTTTTCTCAAGTTCGCAACACGCAGCCGACCACGACCGATGCGCTCGCCTCGCTCCTCTGGACTCAACTTCTCCTATGCACCGCATTGGGCGTGCTGGTCGCAGCGGCCCAGCTTCTCAGCCCGATGGGTCTTCACCGTCTTCTCGAGTACATGCAAGACCCTGAGCAGGCCGTCTTCCAGCCACGGCTATGGCTCGCCGTCATTTGCGGCGGTCGGATAGCGCAGACGGCACTGCAGCAGGCATACAGCTCCTACTCCCGCAAGCTCGTGGCCCAAGTCGGCGCAATGCTGACCGGGGAAGTCTACCAAAGCGCTCTCGCATCGCGCGAGCTTCACGGCGATTTCCTGAGCGCTGGTGACGTTGGGCCTGAAACGGGATCGCAAAGTACGGCGTCTGGTGTACTGGAGAATTTGGTGTCAAGCGATATTCGAAACATTACGCAGCTTCACGATGTCCTCGTTTGCGTGACGGCCATTCCGGCTGCTGCTGCTGCCGCGTTCGGGCTGTACCAGCTTGTCGGCTGGCCTTGTCTTGTGGGCATTGTCCTCGCGCTCTCGGGGTCTCCGTTTGAATCCTGGATCATGGAATATGTCGGAGACCAGGAGGAGCGGCTCAAAACGGCCCAGGATTTACGCATCTCCCTGGCGTCTGAATACCTCCGGTCCATCAAGATCATCAAGTACTTTGGCTGGGAGGAGTCCGCCGCAAAGAAAATCACGCAGGCTCGAGCAACAGAGCAGAAACATGTCAAAGCCATCGATATTTTCAGCACGGGAATGGCCCTCATAGCTACCCTTTTCCCAATTCTGTCGCTCGTCTCAATCTTTGGCCTCCACGTTCTTGTCCGGAAAATGCCACTGACGGCATCAACCGCATACACGACCATTCAACTACTGGAGATTGTCAAGGACTGTTTAGCTTTCCTTGCTCTCGTCAGTGTCGACTTCTCCAGGGCAAAGGTATCGTTGCGTCGTTTGGATAAGTTTTTCAAAAGCCTGACGCCGCTCGATGCCTATCCGAGCGGACCTGTCGAGATTCGCAATGCGACGTTCCAGCGTGCTGCCGGAGCCGCTTTTCATCTCCGAGAAATCGACATCAAGTTCAGCCAGGGCGGCTTGAATGTGGTGACGGGCGACAGTGGTAGTGGCAAGTCCTCGTTGTTGTTGGCGCTGCTGGGAGAGACTCATAAGAAAAGCGGTAGTGTCACTCGCCAGCAAGATGTCGCCTATGCACCACAAACTGCATGGTTGCAAGCTGGTACAATTCAAGAAAATATCATGTTTTACCGCAAATACGATGAGAAGCGATACAGAAGTATCATCGACGCTTGTTGCCTGGACGTTGACTTGGCGGCAATGAAGCATGGAGATCAGACAGTGATTGGCGACGGCGGCTTTGCTCTGTCGGGTACGTGCTCCAGTATCTTGTTCAGGTCAGATTACAGACTAATGGAATACAGGCGGGCAGCGCGCAAGGGTTGCTCTCGCAAGAACCTTGTTTTCGGACGCGTCGTTGCTTCTACTCGACGACATTTTCTCCGCACTGGACAGCAAGACACGTTTACAAGTGTGGAACGGCGTGTTCTGTTCAGACCTTGTGCAAGGCAGAACAGTCATTCTAGTTACCCAGCATGCCTGGATTGCGCGTGAAGCCAATCTCACTGTTGTCATGGAGAACGGCCGTGTTCGATCCGCCACGGAAAAGCGAGGTCATCTACGCGAGGCGAAACCCATCCCATCCAACACGGAGGCGAATGAAGAGTCATCAGGCCAGACTTGCACTCAATTGTCCATCGAGAAGAATGCCTATACTGCACAACAGGCAGAATTGGCGGCTGGTCAAGAAACATCAGTAGCAGGTACCACGGGCCCTCTATCCGGCAAGTCACACTTCCTCCAAGAAACAGGCTTGCTAGCTAACATGGTGAAACAGTGTTGACGTACTTGATGATGTACTTTGGTGGGCCGTTGGTTTCAACTTTGACTGTGGCAACCTGCTTCCTTCACACAGGCACTGGTATTTACACCAACTACTGGATGTCGCGCTGGGTTGAGCACGCCGACGACGGCGGAAGCAGCGCCTCGTACCACTTGGCGGCGTACATTGGCTTGAGCTTCCTTACCGAGGCTGTGGATGGGGTACGCATGATGGCTTTTAGCAGAGGCATTTGGGTGGCTGCCGGAAAGCTCCATATGGACGTGATCAGTGCCGTCATGGCGGCGCCACTGTCGTGGTTCACCGAGCAAGCGATATCCGAGACGCTGAATCGGCTGTCGGAGGACATGTCGACCCTGGATCAGAGCATCTACAACTCTATTGTCCCAGTCATCAGCAATGTGATTAGGTGTATGCTCATGATGGGGAGCGTTGCATCTAAACTCCCCGTGTTCATGCTGCCAGCGCTTGCCATGCTGGTATTTGGCTGCTTGATCGCGCGGAGGTATGAGGCAGCCAGCCATCGTCTCGCAGAGCTTGTTTCTGCCAGCCGATCTCCCATTCTTTCAGACTTCTCCGAGGGGCTTGCAGGTTCCATGGTGATTCGTGCGACACCGGCGACGCCGGCAATTTTTCATGCCAAGATAAACCGCTTGCTCTATGCGTCGTCCCGGGCGCAACATGCTCAGTCCAATGCCAGCCAGTGGCTCAAATTTCGAATGAGCATCTTGGCTACGGCTATTAATGTGCTCGCTGCGTACCTTGCCCTGTCCCAGAGCGGTAAGATATCGGCCGGGTTGACGGGCTTCTGCTTGTCGCAGGCGACGCAGCTCAGCGACAATGTCTTGTCGTTGATCTTTAGCTTCAACAATCTGAGCCGTGATATGCAAACGGTATGTTTTGAAATGAATGGTTCTTGTGTACACCCTTTCCTTTATTTTTCATTTTGCTAATGCTGGGTGGGATAAAGTTCCAGCGTGTTCGCGAGTACACTCAGCTGGCGCCAGAAAAGGACTTGGTCGCCGAGACGAGCGAGGAATTGCCAGCAACTTGGCCGACAACTGGCGCTATAGAATTGCGGAATGTCACGGCTCGATACAGCCCTGACGGCCCGGATATCTTGAAGAATATATCTCTGAGGATTCGGCGCGGGGAGCGGCTCGCCATTGTTGGCAGAACCGGCAGCGGGAAGAGCACGGTCAGTGCTTGTAGCCAACACGGCAGGTTGTCAGGCGGCTAACTTGATGATAGCTGATTTTATCCCTACTTGGATTTACAACCATTCAGTCTGGGCAAATACTGTATGACGGGGTGGACATTCAATCGATTCCGCGCAAGCGTCTGCGCCAATCCATCTCCACGATCCCGCAAGAGGCGCAGCTACTCCAAGGCACTCTTGCTTCCAATCTCGACCCCTGCGGCACAATTCCAGAATCAGAGCTCCAAAACGCCTTGGATGCGTGCCAGTGCATTCTCCGATCCACAGACAGCGCGGATGCGACGGCAGCAGCCTCTGTTGATTCCGCAACCAACGACGCGTTTGCAGACAGACTCACGCTGTCGACCGTGGTCCGGTCCAAGGGGGCCAACTTTTCCCACGGCCAGCGACAGGTGCTCTCGCTGTGTCGCGTGCTGGTCCGGCGCTCCAAGCTCGTCCTGCTCGACGAGGCAACGTCGAGCATGGACGCGCGCACCGACGCCGGCGTCCAGCAGGCGCTTCGCGCAGAGCTCTCGCGTGCAGGCGGCCAAGACAGGACACTGATTACCGTGGCGCATCGGCTGCAGACCATCATGGACTATGACAGGGTCGTGGTCATGAGCGCGGGTCGGATTGTGGAGGTCGGTAGTCCGAGGGAATTACTGGCCAAGAAGAGTGCGTTCTATGACATGGTGATGCACGGGGAGAAACATGTTCTGAGTGGTGCAGGGTAGTGGTGTGGTGGTAAACAGGTAGACCACTAGTGCGTACCTACTAATAAGTACTGTAGTATACATACCACTGTTTACTCTTAATTACGTCCCGAATTATGTTTTAAGCGTGTGTTTTTAAGAGGTATTATCATGTATCGAAAATAACGTCAAGATGATATAACTGCGCAGAAAAAAATGTTTGAAGAAGGTTGCTCTAGGTTAGGTGTTGAAGGACTCAGCCAGCAGTACCGGGTGGTGGGCAACGTTTATTTAGCACCCCACCAACGTCATCACAACCCGCCAGCTCTCACGAGCATCACCCGACACAACAATCGCCAGAAGCGTGACTGCCGCTCTGCACGGCGACTGAGCGCATCATGGACTCCAAGTAAGCATGCTCGTGGAATGCAAACCCCTGAGAATCCGCTAACGTCTGCAGGACCAGCAACATTCTCTCGTTGCCGTTTCGACGGTCGGTGCACCTCTCCCTCGCCACCACGATCCGCCAGTACATCAACGCCAAGTATGACCAGCACCCCGACATGTTCCGCCCGGACCTCGACGCCATTGACGCGCTGCGCACCGATGCCATCAACGTTCGCGAACCCCATACCAGCGGCGTCAAGAAGCTCCAGGCCTACGCTGCCCAGCTGGTCTGGATCGGCGGCAAGTTTCCCATCGACGTGCGTCAGACTCGCCAGAGGCCCGCGTGCTTGTGAGGATACTAATCGAAGCACAGATTGGCGCCGAGTTCACATGGTACCCCGCGCTTGGCTATAATACCGAACGACCCATGGTCCGCAACAACCTCAAGTACGAGCTCATGAATGTCCTCTACAACCTGGCCTCGCTCTACTCCCAGCTCGCCATCAACACGTCGCGCGCCAACACCGACGGCCTCAAGACGGCCGCCAACTATTTTTCCCAGGCAGCCGGCGTCCTCTCGCACATCAAGTCCACCGTGCTGCCGGAGCTGCGCATGTCGGACCCGCCCGAGGACATGGACGAGCACACCCTCGAGTCGCTGACCCAGCTGCTGCTGGCCCAGAGCCAGGAGTGCTTCTGGCAAAAGGCCGTCATGGACGGCTACAAGGATGCCTCCATTGCCAAGCTCGCCGCCCGCGTATCCGACCTGTACAACTTGGCCGGCGAGTCAGCCGTCAAGAGCGAGGCCATCAGCAGCGCCTGGATACACCACATGACGGCCAAACACCACCACTTTGCCGCCGCCGCCCAGTACCGCGCCGCTTGTGACTGCTTGGAGAAGAGAAAATATGGTGAAGAGGTGGCACGGCTCCAGGATGCCGTGCAGTGCGTCAACGAGGGCATCAAAGAGACCAAGGGCGGATACCTCAACAAGCTTGTGGTGGAAGACTTGAATGCGCTGAAACGAAAGGTGGAAGAGGATCTTAAGCGCGCAGAAAAGGACAATGATATCATCTTCCTCAGTGAGTCTGGTTCCTAGACGTGTTTGATTGCTGCTAACCTGCGCAGATATTGTGCCGCCAAAGTCGGAACTAAAAATTCTCGACCGAGCGAATATGGCCGTCGCCAGAGTACCCAAACAAATTTCGGATCCCTACGAATTCTTCGGAGACAAGGCCGAGTTTGGGCCAGCCCTCTTCTCTCGCCTGGTTCCCTTCTCGGTACACGTTGCCATTTCGATATACGAGGAACGACGCGACCGAATGGTGGACCAAAGTATTATACAAGAGTTGGAAACCATGACGGAGCAGTTCCACAATGCTTTGGCGTCTCTTGGACTTCCAGGCTCAATACAAGCTCTAGAGAAGCCTCTCGGGCTACCGCCTAGTCTCGTGCAGCATGCTGAAGAGATTCGGCAAGCAGATGCTGTCAATAGACTCCACAAGTCCTTTATTGACATTGATAAGCTGCGGGCAGCTGATATGGCCATCTTTGAAGAGGGCATCACGGCGCTGGCGGCTGAGTACGACGAGGACCAGCAATTACGCGCCAGATACGGCACCGATCGCTGGGCTCGTCCAGACAGCAAGACCGACCCGCAAGGCGCAAAGCTTTGGCACCACGTCACAGAAATTGAGAGCTACTTTGAGAGCAGCTCAAGCAGCGATGGCGTGGTGCGCGAAAAGTATGCAGCAAACGAAGACTTGCTGCGCATCTTATCCGGACCCGACCGCGGGATACAAAACTACGTGCCGTCTGGCGGGCAGATGGACATGCGCGAAGACCTCAGAACGTCGATGGGAAAACTGCGCAGTGCGTATAGTGACGCAGTGCGCTTCGAAAGCAAGCGACGGGTCAAGGTCAAGAACTTGAAGGAGAATGCCAAGCGCGACGACATCAAGCCGGATATTCTCAAAGAAGCAGCCAGACTGGAGCGCACATATCCCACGACAAGCATTGTACCGGCGCACTTTGAAGACTTTTTCGACAAGAGGCTGGACAAGCTCTACGAGACAGATATTGACGGACTGGATAAAGAAGCAAAGGAGCAGGAGCAGCTGGTTGCGCAGCTGCAACGGGCGAATCGCGAGTTTGAAGCACAAAAGCAAAAGGGAAGCTCGCGTGCGAACCGCGAACGCGAACAGGCGCTGCAGAGGCTGGATTCGGCATACTACAAGTACAAGGAGATTCTCAACAACTTGGACGTGGGCCGCAAGTTCTACAACGACTTGAGCAAGATTGTCGGACAGGGGTTCCGGGATGAGGCCAAGTCGTGGGTTGCCCAGCGGCGGATGGAAGCCCGCGCTTTGGAAGAGTACGTTTTTATTTCCATGACAATGACGCAGAGTATCGTTGAGATACGACGCATATCATCGTTGATACAATGACGCTTATTAACCGTTGACAGGGAACTGAGCATGCCGACGCTGTCAAACCTCAACATATCAAGAAACCACACCCCCGTACACAACGCCCCGCCGCAGAGCATATATCAACAACCACCGGCGCAGCAACAGAGCTACTACGGCGGCATGCCCCAGCAGGGGTCCGGACCGGTGGAGGCGGCGGCCATTCAGTCGTGGGCCGGCGCGGGAGACAATGTGCAGCAACCGCAGCCGATGCCGCCGGTGGCGAACCCGATGGGCACCATGTGGACGCCCGGGGGGCCCATCAATTTCGGGGCCGGACTGTCGCAGGCCGGCAGTGGGGAGGGACAGCAGCAGCAGCAGCAGCAGCAGGGAACGTGGAATCCGAGTTTGGGGATTAAATTTGGGTAGTGGTCATGTAGATGCCGTTGTATACCATCTACTTGTTGAAAACATGAATCAAATGAGTTTCTTGCTATCTTTTACGGACCTAGAGGATCAAAGCATTATGATTTGATAAATTGGTCATGTTCGGCAGCCATCTCATTCTGCACCTAGAAATTTTATTATTATCATACATGCGAGTTGAAAATTTGGTATTGCTCTGCAACCACTGCAAGGTAGACGTGTTATCAAATAAACAAAGGAAATGCCGAATAGGCTAAAGGAATGAGCACGCAGCGGGTATTTCAGACGTCCATGCCGCCAAAACAAAAACAAAACCATGGTCTATATGCAAATGAATCATAAAACTCCAAGCCAAGCCAAATCCAAATAAAATCCAGCCCGGTCAACGATCAATGAGCGGCATTGGCCGCGCCCTCGTGCTGCAGAGCCTGTTGTGCGGCAGCCAGCTTGCCAAACTGCCACTCGGGGAGGGTGATGCCCGTCTGCTCATTGATGGTGCTCATGAGCGGGGGCAGCATCTGGTAGACGTTGCGCATCGTCTCTGCGGGATCGCTGCTGTTGCCGGTGCCGCTGCTGCTGCCGGTGTTCCAGACGGAGATTTTGGGCTCGAGGCCGCGGATGGCGTCGGCGTTGGCCTGGGCCAGCTCGACAAAGGTGCCCTTTTCGAGCATGACCCACTGCAGGAGGCCGGCGGGGCCGCCAAACGCGGCGGCCATCTTGGCGTAGGCCTCGGCCAATGCGGCGAGGCCCTCGGCCTCCTTGAGGCGGCGGACAATGTCGGCGTCGGCGAGCTGCTGGGTGGCGTAGCCGGCGGCGTCGGCCTCCTGGCGGACGCGGTAGGCGTCGGCGTCGGCCTCGCGCTGGCGGGCCTCTTGCTGGGCGCGGGCGGCGGCGGCGACCTCGTACGCGGCGGCGTCGGCGGCCTGCTGCTTGCTCTCGCGGATGATGGTGGCCTTGACGAGGTCCGTCGCGCGCAGGCGCTCCAGCTCCGCCGCCGCGCGCTTCATCTCCATCTCCTTCTTGAGCTCCTCGTCGGTCGACTGGATCGTGCGCTGCGCCGTCACCTTGGCAATGTCCACGTCGCGGTCCAGCGCCGCCTGCTGCGTGCTGAGCCGCGCCACCGCCGTCGCCCGCTCAATGTCCCGCTCCGTCTTGGCCACCGCCGTCTCGGCGTGGATCTTGGCAATCTCCCGCTCCTGCTCGCCGCGACGCGCCGACTCGCCCACGTTGCCCTTGAGCTGCGCCTCGGCGACGTCGATGCGCGCCTGGTTGGTCGCGCCCTCGTGGGCCTTGCGGGAGAGGGACTCGAAGTAGTTTGAGTTGGGAGCGTCTTTGAGTTCTTTGACCTGTGAGGGGTGTCAGTATATATATATATATATATATATATATATCATTTGAGACAAATTGGAAAAGAAAAAAAACGCACATTCGAGTTCCAGATGCGCAGGCCAAACTGGTCCAGCTCGCCCTGAATGTTGCGAAAGATGCGCTTCTTGAACATTTCGCGCTCGGTGAAAATCTCCTCCATGGTCATGCTCGAGACGAGGACGCGCGTCTCGCCCTCGATGATGCCCTTGACAATGTTGGCGACGTGGCGGAGCTTCTCCTCGCGGTCGGCCTTGCCGTCCTTTTCGTCGCTCTGGCTGAGGAGGGTGACGTACTTGGTGAGGGCGTCGGAGGCGGCGTCGGTGCCGCGCGAGTTGACGTCGGGCCCGACGGTGAAGACGACGGGCAGCGCAAACTGCAGCTTCTCCTTGGTCATGGCGAGCAGGTCCATGGCGTAGTCCTGCGGCTGCACGCTGAAGCGCGTGCACCGCTGCATGGGCCACACCCAGGCGGCCTTTGTGATTTTGACGTTGACGATGCCCATGCCGGTGATGGCGAGGAACTCGTCGGGGGCGGAGATTTTGTAGGACATGGTGGGCGGTGGTGGTGGTGGTAGTCGGGGGTGTAGGTGGTCAAGGTTGTGTGTATAAGTGGTTGATGCCTACCACGATGGTGTAAGTTGATGCTGCTACCAACGAGTGTAGAAGGCAAGATGCGCAAGAAAATGGGCAAAAACCACAGAGGCACCGCATGGCTTTATACATGTTTCTGAGCTGTCATGCGGGTGACACAACGACGACGACTGCGGCTGAGAAATGCAGGCACCGGGCAAAGAAGATGCGACAAGGTTGAGCTTGGAGTGTCTTGTTAGTGAGGCAATCTGGGGAGCTACAGCTTTGCCCCGCCAAGACCGCCCGGGGGGCTTTAGCGGGCGGGGCGGGGCTCTTCAGGGTGTTGCAGGGCGTTTGGGCGGAATGCCTGCTGCCACCTGCAAGTCCCTGTTGATGCACGTGGGAAGTGACTGTGTCTGATAGTGACGCATGAATTTTTTGAAAGAGTATTCTTGTATATTGGAATAATGCTGCATTTTTGCAAATCAGTTAGGCAAAGTGGAAAGTCGCGCAAAAAATTACTCGTCGCTACAACGTGTCCGTCACTGGCGGATTGTGTTCCGGACAGTGTGGCGCAGCTTGGGTGGTAGCCTACCATGTAGGTACTAGTAATTCTGTACTACCCGTGCCTTCAAGGGTCCAGGGTTCATGGCCGCAGGGACAAATCTCGCATTGCAGCAGCATGTTTCACTGGACCAACCTGCAAGGTTCTCCCCGCTTGGACTGATTCGCTTACTGCTGCGCCCGACGCTTCATATATCTCCGGATTGTGACGAGGAATGATGACCTCGAGATTGTTCACAAAGCGTTGGCCGGGGCTGTGTTGGCTAGTCCAGGCTGCACGGATATAAATTATAAAGAAAGTGTATTTAGGAGGCGGTACAGAGTGGTCATTGCTGTCTTTTCATAAGCGGTGTTGGTGGTGTGCTACTCGCTTCCAGAGCACCACATGATCATGACCATCCAAGATATCTGGCTTCTTCAAGCTTCTTCAACAGGCTGCCAAATAATACTCTGAACTGCCCCACCAGATACGCCCTGTTGCCTTGCCTAAATATTCTTTATTAGGATACACAGGTACAGATTAGTCTCATTCCCAGCCGCCCTCGGCCCGCCCACCCATCGCACTAATAAATAATACTAGCTTAGTATATGTGTACATATCACATTGCACCTGATCATCGCTCTCAATTGTTGTGAGGCCGAATCGCCACCCTCCAATTACTGCACATAGCTGCTCAGCCTCGTAAGATGATATTCTTCATTGCCGCATATCTTCATAAACCATGACTACTCTATATACACGTTCCCAAGCACAGCCATCAGCCATCGCCGCATCACCTTTGTTCACGTGACTCGCCGCTGACGCCCGACAACCCCGCTCACAAGTCTCACCACCATACCCCAGTCCCCGAGCTGAAGCTTGGCTGTTTCTCCTTCACACATCACAGCCCCCGCCACTCGCTCTCCCAACTAGGCGTATCGGTGTAGGTTGCTGCCCGTCCGGGTCACCGGCACCGGTGTCTGCATCTGTGTGTGCCGCATCGGTGGCGGCTGCGGCCACACCTGCTGCTGTGGCACGACACCACCACCAGCACCGCTCTGCCGCATGGCCGTCGCCATCCTCGTTTGCTGCGCCCCGACTGCTCTCCCGCGACTCGACGACCGGCAGCAGCAGCACAGCATCCACGCCAGCACCGCCAGCACCGCAACACCGCCCACCACGCAGAGGACGATGAAAAGAGTCCTGTTGTTTCTGATCCACGCCGCCGCGTCCCCCCCTCCGTTGCTGCCGTCCGCCGCCTGCCCAACACACGTCCCGCTCGAGCACCGCCGCGCGCCGTCGCCGCACGGCGTACCGTCCCGGAAAAACTTGGCGCTCGCCTGACACGTCCCGCCGTCGACCAGCGTCTGCAGGCAGTTGAGCTCGCAGCCCGTCGCGCTGCACGCCTCGGCCGTCACGTTGCCGCCGCCCGCGCTCACCGTAGAGGTGCTGTTGTTGGACGTCAGCAGCTTGGAGCACTGCAGCGCCCGCGACGTGCACATGCCCGTGGCGCACGTCAGCCCCTGCCCGCCGTCGCCGCACGCCTGCCCGTCCGGCAGCTGCTCGTCGCGCGGGCAGTCGGCCGTGCTCCCGCCGCACGTCTCCTCGGGGTCGCACAGGCCGATGCTCTCGCGGCAGACCTGTCCGCTGGCCGCGAGCCCGCACTGCGCCGTGCAGCAGCGCTGCCTCGACGGGTCGCACACTGCTCCGGCCGTGAACCGGCACGTCGTCGGGTTGCAGCACGCATTGTCCCCGCAGCCCTCGGGCCCACCGCAGTCGCAGTCCTCCCCCGCGTCCACGACGCCGTTGCCGCACACCGACTCGGACACGGTCGGCACGTCATCGTTGCCGCTCAGACACGCCGTGTTGATGTTTCCGCCGCCCCATGCCGCGCACACCTGCCCGATGGAGCACGGCGAGAATTCCGTCACGCGCGAGCTCACCGACGGATTCATCATGTACTGTCCGCGCGCGTCGCAGTTACTGCTGCTGCTCAGCGGGCAGCACAGGCCCTCGGCGCCGCCCGCGCACGCCGATGTGCAGTCGTGCACGGCGCCGAAATTGTGGCCCAGTTCGTGCGCCAGCACCTGCCACTCGGCCGCCGTCCGCGCTACCACGTTGGTGCTCGGTGTCGAGCGCACCGCGCCGCGCACCAAGACGCCCGGCTGACACACGCTGCGGATCCACGCGATGCCCACCGTCGAGCCCGACGGGCACGCCGTCAGCAGCGTCCACGCGGCCGCACGGTCGTCGAAGCCGGCCTTCCACCGCGAGAACTCGTTCAGCCGGTCGCCAATCGAGAGACTAGCAGCGCAGGCCCGGTTCCACGACAGGCCAGAAGAGCCGCTGGGACACGCGGCGTCGGAAATGGTAATGTTGCGCACGCGCAGCTGCACGTTGAATGCCGATTCGTACACGCGCGACGCCGTGCTGACCTGCGTTAGAATGTTGCGCCGAATCTCCTGATCGGAGCTAAACTGCGCCGTATACGAGCAGTCGGTCGCGATGCCCAGCAGCGCAATCGCGCGCGTCGATGGACACCCGCTGGTGGAGCCAATGGTCTGCACCAGACTGTCCGTCGTGTCGCCGCTGCCACCGCGCTGCCGTCTCTCGAGGCTGTTGTTTCCCTCGAGGCTGTCGAGGCCGCACGTGGGCTGCTCGGCGGCGCGCTGCTGCACGAGTGAGCCGATGTGGTCGTCGACGTACCGCCAGACGACATTGTACGGCCGATGGGCCACCGCGGGCGCGGCGTCGTGCTCGCTGCGCGTGCGGCGGTAGGTCGCGTCCGTCTGGATGTGGTACTCGAAGCCGTCGACAAAGTAGGCGCCTTCGAGCAGCGGCAGCCCGTGGCTGACGTGCACCGACACGCGCGCCCACTCCTCCTCCTCACGCCCCGCGTGCCCATGCGTCGATGCGGTGCCGCGGTAGACGAGGTGGTCGCCCGCCGGCGTCGTCTCAGAGCTGCGGACGGAGCCGTCGGCGCGGATGCGGTGCACCGTCACGGGCTGTGTGTAGATATCCTCGTCGCGATGTAGCGAGAGCGTCACGCGCCGCGTAGAGCCGGACGGCGTAAACGACACGGCGAGCTGCGAGGGCGCTGCATCTTGTGAGAGCGTCGGCGTGAAGGTGACGTCTTGCACCGTGTGTAGCAGTTTGGGCTCCGTGCGCCGGACAGAATGTGCTGATCCCGTGTTAGTAGTGTACGCCGCTTCCGTTGCGCCCCCCCTCCCCTGTGGTGTAGTTGAACAAACCTAGAACAGCCGTGGACAGCAACTGTGCGTATACCAGTACTTTTCGTATGCTAAAAGTCTTCATGTCCAAATGGGGCAAAGGGTGGTTTGCCAATCAAGTAACAAGACGACGGAAAACCACATGCATGCAGCAAGAGGTGAGCGAGGTGGGCAACAATGTTCATTTTTATAAACCCTGATTTTATTAAGCTTCTATTTTTCCCTTCTTTTTCTCCTAGATCTATAAGCCAATCTCCATAAAAATCTCCATCTTGTCCACGTAACCACATCTCGCCGCAGCATCTGACAAAAAAAACTCCAGTCATCCCACCTTGGCGTTAGCCAAAACGTGCCAACCCATCCCGCAGACGGTGTGTGGGGGCTTCCATCAAACCTCCCAAGTAGAGATGTAAAACGATTAGAGAATAAAGATGGAGAGGAGCCGGGTAAAAGACTGTGGAAAGAGGCGCTGTGTCAGAAAAGGCAACTTTTTTTCCCTCTCTGAATGGTACCGAGTCGGGCCAACGACGACCAATAGCAGCGGCGCGCCAAGAACAGGCTACCGGCCTTGGGAGGGATGACGCACGTCGAGCCAAGACGCTTCGCCACTGCGGCCAAGCGACGGGTTGGGTTTGGAATTATCAAGAGATTTATAAGCCCCCGTTCTCTCTCTGTGCGTCTCTCTCTCTTTTCTCCGATCGAGGCTGTCAATGTTGAGCCTCAACCCACACCCGGCCTTATTGTAGATTGGGTGTTAAATCCGACCGAGAATGGTCACCGAGGCGCAGCCCGTCCCCTCGTTCGTGTCGGACGAAATCAGCACCCAAGATTGTACAACTTCCCCCGGCGCCTAACGGGGGCAAGACTGTCATCGTTCATCTTCTTCCCATCCCACTGAAACCCGTCCTCGACATGTCGTCGTCATGCCCGCCCTTCTTGGCATCCGTTATACTTTTCGCCCAGTCCTTTTTTTTTTCACGCCGCGTGTCTCTCCCCCCCCCCCCCGTAAACTCCGAGGCTTTCCTCGCCGGCGCCGTTCCGATTTGTTTTCAACTTTTGCCATGCCTTCAATCACGCAGCGACTCGATGAGATGGGAGTGGAGAGGCGGAGCCCAGCCTCGCCGGGCTCCCTTTATCTTGGGACCGCCTGCTCCGCCACCGCCATAAGTCCGATGCATGAGTTGTGCAAAGGCGATTATCGGCGGCGCCTGCCATGACAATCTCGCCTTGCGCTCTTCTTCAGCTGCGTTTTTGTCTCTTTGGGGGGGGGGGGCTGCTGGGGCGAAGCAGGGTGGGAGAGCCGACAACCCACTCACCGCGTTGTTCATCCGGGGGACCTATGAGGAGGCTATCCGGAACGGAGTGCACGAAACAATGTTGTAGATTGTGTGTTTGTAGTTAATTTCAAAACCGCATCCATTCTTGTTTTTCCTTTCGGGATCAAACCACAGTGGAGAGCTTTGTTCAAGGCCGGATGCTGACGCGCACCACCACGCCCCAGCCCGTGCTGCTCTCCCAGATGCCCATTTCGTTTTCCCGGCGAAACGTCACCTCCTCGGCAGTGACAAGCATCGAGACGTCGTCGTCGCCCTCGGCAGCAGGCGTAGAGGCCGCCGGCGGTATCGGCGGTGTGCTGCTGCTGGTGCCCCTGCTGCCAAGTATATTCCACCGGGACCTCGTCTTTTTCGCCTCCGTCACCTGGGCGGCGACCGTCCGCCTGTCGACCGCCGGCGCGGGGGTGCTGCGCGGCGCCGGCTGCAGATATCCCGCCAGGCGCACGGCCAAGTCCTCGTCCTTCCACCACAGCAGCTCGGCCTCGTCGTCTCTCCCAGCGACATGCTCCCCCCAGCGTGCCCGGCCATCCGTCTTGCTGTCCGCTGCCCGCCGGGTCGTCTGCACGCGGACCACGCTGTGCGTCTCGCCCGGCCGTCCGCCATCCGTCTCAGCCGGCGTCCAGTCGGCGGCCACGGCGCCGTCCGGGACCAGCGTGGCCTGGACGAGCCGCGGGGCCTGCTGCTCCGCCCCGACGACGGACGCGAGCACGGCCTCGACGTGCGGCATCAGCAGCGCGAGCAGCTGCGTGTCGTGGCGGTCCTGCTGCGAGGCGCGCGCCGCCTGCTGCGCGCGCATCTGGCTCCGCACCGCGGCGAGGTGCGCCGCAAAGAGCGAGTCGTCGGGCGGCGTCGACGAGGCCGGTTCTTCGCGCGAGTACGGCGGCGGGAGCTCGCCGTCGCCCAGATGGGCCAAGTCTGCTGGTTGCTTGGACATGGTCTTTTTTGGATAAGTGCGATGCAAGGACGCAGCGAGAGGACAAGCTCCTTGGAGGCGAAAGCGTTTGAGGTGAATGTTGACAACAAAGGCTTTTATGTTAGTGTGTGTCCAGGCGCACTGCGTAGGTACCTACCCTGTACTTCATGCTCCATACAGGTTGCTCTCATTCTGCCCTGGCGATGCGCCTTCACCGCTCAGCCTCACTGTACACTGTAACCACCCCGACTGTAGATCCCTGGGCGGCGGCCGCCTCGCCTGACCTGCTGGTGCCTGGTTCATGCGACGCATCCTCGAGACAAACTCGACTCGACATTGACGCTTTTCTCGACCCCGAAAAAAGTCGCATATCACTTTGTGGATTTTTGTCCTCCCTTTTTAGAACAAAGTGGCAAGATATCTGTATCAGCCTCCAGCGTGGCTTGTTTCTGACGGCTGCAAGGCCTCCCACTTTGTCGCGCCCTACGCCGTTTCAGGCTGCCGAGAGGTGGCTATGACGGCGACAACCGTTCGAGTCTCATCTTTTCAGCTAGTGAATGCCGAAGAAAATTGTCATCATAAACTAAATTTTATCTATTATGATGAAGACTGAATTTTATAGAGAGTCCGATGCGCATCATGTCTTTCTTCTTCTCTCCTCCTTTTTTTGTTTGTTTGTACAAATGACTCGCTAACACCGCTGTCCAGCAGATGTGCCCCAGAAGTGTATCGAGGAAGTTGGCCCAGCATGCCACCCAAACGGCACTGTTAGTCTGCTCTGAGACTGTCCATCTCACTGGAGGCCTATATTGTTCTTCAACACGAGCTTCTGCATAACCATGTCTCCTCAACACTGTGACAAAACGTCAATCGTCGGTCATGACCGTTGTTCGAACATCTCTACCCTACACCTCTCCGTCTGCGTGTATAGCCTTCCCGCTACGGTAGGTGTACTCGTAGGGATCTTTTCATTGCTATAGTACTTAGCAATTCCTATTGTTCATAGTATTTCTATTATCCATATCATTCCCACCATTGTGTAGCTTCAAGGCGTACTCCCTTCTCCTGTTCACCGTATTTGTACTTGTTTCTATTGTTCACTCCAGAATTGCCCATGAGGCCTTGATTTCGCTTCCGAACTGTCAGAATGCGCACGAACTCTGCTTTTCTTCCCCCCTTTCCTATTGACTTCCAAGTTTCTCACTACATTGTAGAACCCGGACGGTAAGCTCCTCACACTGACACAAGAAGCCAAATCAAGAACCTCTCTACAGGACATGTCATCATTCACAAATCTACTAGTACTGTGTCTCTTTGGCGGTAACATATGGCTGTATTGTCCATCTATCTGTGGTAACTGTAGATGAAATCCTTGTCCGCGCCTGCCAGTCCCAAGAATCTAGTTCAGAGGGGGGATAGAAGCAACATCCTTGGCAGCACCGTTGGCACCACCAGCAGCGGCCTTGTCAGCAGCAGCGGCGTCGTTGCCAGCAGCGGCCTTGTCAGCAGCAGCCTTGTCAGCAGCAGCCTTGGCAGCGGCGGCCTTTTTGGCAGCAGC